GGCCTTCTATATGTGTTAAACAATAATGACAGAGGCAGAAAAATGAATTATGTTGTCTGTTAGCATGTGCATGTGGCATGTAGCACAATCGTACAGCACAGTTTTCACTACCATATAGTTTTAGCTACTTTTCAAATGACTATTTAGACACTGTTATAGCAAACTCAGATTCATGTCTGGCTCCACTCTGGTATGGAATGCCCACTTTTCACCATTCAGTTCATTTTGATTTATAAAAACAAGTACTGTCCTATTTTTCCCTCATTGAATACCCCGTTTCACTTGGTAATACATTACATTATGGATGTAAAATAGATTGTGAAAGTTGTGATGATGCCTAAATTACAAAATTCACCTTGAGTAAGAACACAAACATTACGATTTCTAAATACAAACCTATATGCTTGAAAACATACACAAGGCTGATTGCAAAATACAAGGAATCTATATAGGTCTAATCTCTGTAACCATCTATTTGTTGGCTGCATTTTCCATCCATCAAAACTTAACTAGCTTTGCTCTGGCTGCCTACGTGCAGTGAATATCATAGGTTGTTTATATTTGGACCTCGCAACAGCTGATGGCGCTGTTAGAATGTTTTGAATCACTGAGCAATCAGCGCTGCAGATATAACGGTGAGGGTGGGGTTATTTTGTTTGTAAGACTCTAGCTAACTTGATAATACAGCGTTTAACTACTGGAAAAAAACTTGGGAGTGCATAATTTACTGGAAAATTGACAAGAATTATAATTCGCTCTAAAAATGTTTCATAAACCAAGCAGAATAAATCACATTTCTTTTAAATCACCACTTTTTAGACTAAAACGTCTAAATGGTTTTGTGCTCTGGAATATTGCAGCCAAAACAACGCCACTGTTTGTATGATTTCGTTTGTCTGTCATCTTCACTGTACAACAACATTTCACAACTCTCGGATTCGATGTTACGTCTATTGTTAGGATCTCTTGATACTAATTAAAACGAGGTTGTCGCTGTGACAGTACGATCGTAAATATCGATGGTTGAGCCTTTGAACTTTCGAAATACGTGTTGTTTGTTAAAATTAAAGAAAGGCTTTAATAGTAAAATCATGCGGGACATGTAAACCAACGCGCTTAGGAACCGGCGATGGTCTCGAGCAAGTTAATGGATTAAACAGCCCTGTTGACGGGGGATGGAGTAGGCCTAACATTCATCTGAACAATCAAACCGGAGATATTACCATGAGAAACATCCGAAACGATAAGATTGGAGTTTATAAAATGGAGACCAACACCAACACCAACAGTATGATCTTACACAGGAAATTCCATATTGATTGTGGTGGTGAGTAAATCAAACTTTACAATGGTATGAGAATGTTAAATAATATCAACATTTGACACTGGTGATCATTTGAGTAAACAGTTTGAAACAGTTAAATTAATACTTAAGTTTAAATTAAACAGGAATTTAATGTTTAAAATTCAGGATAAGCCATTTTATTTGTAGTTATTGTCTGTGATGGATTTCCATTTGTTTATCATGTGGCAATTCTTGGAATCAATACATTGAAGTGTTTATACTATACTCCATGTGGTAAGGTACAGTGGGGATAATGGCACACCTTAAAGGGGTCATATGATGCTGCTAAAAATAACATTATTTGGTGTAATGAAATGTGTTTAAAGGGGTCATATGATGCTTTTTTAAAGATCATTTGTGTATTTGGTGTAACAGAATATGTTGACATGCTTTAATGTTCAAAAAACACATTATTTTTCAAATACTGTACATTATTGTAGGTCCTCTATGCCCCGCCTCTCTCAAACGCTTCGTTCTCTACAAAGTCCCTCTTTCCGACAAGCGCAGTCTGCTCTGATTGGCCAGCTGACCCAGTGCATTGTGATTGGACGAACACCGCAAGCATTCGTCAGAAATGTAACTCCCCTTACCATAATCGCGAGCTTCATCTTTCAAAATAAATGTAAAGACAGTAAATAATGTCATTAGTTTTACCATCAGTTCAAGCCCGAAAGGGGAACAGAGTCGCGTGACAGACAGTGATGAAGCTGGTATGTGTTTGCAGTACACAAGCCACGGTTAAGACAGCTGACTCCACTGTGATGTGACCCTCTCTCTGTCTCTCTCTCTCTCTCTCTCTTGCGCGCGCGCTCGCGCACACACACACACACACACACACAATGCGCAAAACTCGAGAAGGGTATAACTGCAGCTTGGAGATCTCCAAATGGGGGCGGGAACTCCAAAACGGTGTGTGAGCTCCAAAATAGGGCGTTGCTTCCTCCCATTGGCAGACAAGCACATGACACGCATGCACATTTTTTCCCCCCAATCCACTTCAGTGCAAACTCCGCCCCACAGCTGATTCTAAAGATTACAAAAAATGCTAACCCCTAAACCTACCCCACTACTGACCTTAACCTTAAGCAGTGAAATTGACTGCACGGCGGGATTGGCGCTGAAGTCAATCACAGTGTTGATTTCCTACACTATGCTACAATAAATGCTAACCCCTAAGCCTACCCCACACCTGACCCTAACCTTAGCCAGTGAAATTGACTGCACGGCTGAATAGGGTGGTAAAGAAAGTTCAGGAGATAAGCAGTTAATAAGATTATGTAATATGAGATTGCCGAGCCGGGCCGTTCCGTAACTCCCCAACCAGCCCTCACCGGACAATGGCTCCTTTTTAGTTACACCCAGCATCACTACCCCCTCCTACCCTGCGAATTTCGAGCCCCGGGATGCCCCCATTGCTTGGAACAAAGAGATAGAGATTAAAGTCTTTCCCCTGCTGGGGGCCGCCCCATTTTGGAGGTTCTGCCCACTTTTGGAGTTCACGCCCCATGTTGGAGTCTCCGGTCTGCAGTTATATCTACTTGGAAAACTCCGCATTTGAACAGCAAATACCACCAAGAGCTTGTAACACTCCAAAGAGAAAGGAAAAATTTAAATCGCATCATATGACCCCTTTAAGAAAAATATGCTTTTCGCTACTTCCACAGTGTACAGGTGCCGATAGTGAATTGGTGGGTTTTTGTTAAATGTGAGCCAAAACCATCACAATTAAAAGAACCAAAGACTTAAACTACTTCAGTCTGTGTGCATTGAATTTATTTAATACACGAGTTTCACAATTTGAGTTGAATTACTGAAATAAATGAACTTTTCCACAACATTCTAATTTATTGAGATGCACCTGTATGTTTTTTATTGAACATTGATGGAGCAACAGATTTTGTGTGAAAATGGATCATAAAAGTGTTTTGTTTTGTTTAAATATTTTATAAATGTATGAGGTGGCAAAGTGGGCCTTTTACCCCACACACAGAGTTAAAAGACCAGACTGGAGCAAAAAGTACACAGTATTTATACAAATATTTTGGTTAAAGTAATATGTTTTGATTTTTAATTTATACGTTAATACTTATTCAAAACAGCAACTTTAGCAAACTTTGTACCATTCACTATTTATTTTGATGAAATAATTCATTTTTGTTCTGTAAATATATGGTCATTACAGTATATTAATAAAATATAGAAACAAAATTATTTTAAAAAGTAAAGATTCTGAAAGCATCGAACGAGGTTCCATAATATTTTAATATTGCTTTGCAGTAGTAAAAATAATATTTTTTATTATATGATATGAATATCATAATTTTAGATATAATGGTTTCACTTATAAATGTGGTGATTATCTCTAAGGTGGACACCCAACTTAATATGATGTTTACCATCTAAATCTAACCATGTTATGTCAACAAATGGAAAAGTCAGCCAGCTATTTATTATCATTTATTATGTTAATTGTTGTACCTTCAGCCCCGACAGCAGGGGCGCTTTTTACCCCAAATACCATACTTTTACATATTCGTCTGTTATAGAAAAACTGTTACTTTAATAACCTTGAACTAAACTGAAAAACATTAACAAGACCTTTGTCTCAAAATATAGTCAATCAATTTACCAGGGGTAGGCAGGTTTGGTCCTAGAGAGCCGCTGTTCTGCAGCACCAACCCTAATCAAACACACCTGAGCTAATCAATGTTTTCAGGATTACGTGCCCTGCGTCCCAATGTTCATACTATTCATCCTAAATAGTGTGCGAGATTAAAATAAGTGTGGTCCCAAAGCATAGTGTGTTGAAAAGAGTATGCCAAAAGTCCCCAGATGATGTACTATTTTAGGTAGATTTTTGAAGTGTGGATCCGTGCACACACTAATGGCTAATATTGCCCACAATCCATTGTACTTTTGCAAAGGATTCAGTTCAGAACTACAAACATGAATAAAAAGTGTAAAAAAATAAATAAAAATTACAAACATGGGGATGTTCGCGACCGTCGGTTAAGTTAAGAGGTTTAGATAAAAGGGTTTGAATGACTAATAATCAGCATTTAACCTGAATTTTTTTTTTTTATTTCATCTGCAACAACAATAAACTCTTCAGGACAGTGAGAACCAAACTTGCCTACCCCTTGTTTATGCCTTCAGCTCCTTGTTTCATCATCTTTGCGTTTTTTGGAATAAAAGTTTGCTCAAGATAGACCCTCACCTTCACTTATCTCTTATCTTGTGCCAAAATATTACAGATGTATGAACAGCACTGTACAGTACATCTTGAAGTTCATCAAGTCATTGAAATCATAAAATAAAATGTAAACAAATGATTAATAAAAGTACAGTTTACCTAGGGTATGAATGTGAATACTTTTAATATGAATCATTTTACCTAAAAATTAACACTTAACATTTAATTAAAAATTATTATTCATTCATATGTCTAATCATATTTTCTCCATATGTGTTCGTTGCAGTGACAGGTGGTGGGAAGACAATAGCAGTCAAGGAGGGAGAAATTATCATTCTACACACTGGTGTTACTGACATAGAGGGATATGACCTGATATTGTGGAAGACTGGAGATGATATTGTGGGTGAAATCAATAAAAAGACCAAAAGATACAGCAGAGATGAAAAGAGATTTAAAGGCAGACTGCAGCTAAATGAAAAATCTGGATCTCTCACCATCAGTAACTCCAGAACCACAGACGCTGGAGATTATCATCTAAATATGAGCAGTAGCACATACACCTTACAGAGGACCATCAATGTTACTGTCAGTGGTGAGTAGACCAAATCTTTCTGTATCAATATCTTGCATGCATCTCTGTTTTGGAAATAATGTAGATATATAAAATCAACACAACATGCATCTAAATTAAGAGACACCTGACATTCAATATCAGCATTGTAAAGCACAAGAAAGATTTTGCAAAAAAAAATGAAACATTTGTAGGAAATTAACATTATTTCCCAAATGGTCTTGCAGACCCTTAGATTTGTTTCAAGTTTTTGTTCATTAATAGAAGAGCAACATGCAGTTTGTAAATATTTTAAGAGGAACTGGAATCGTTCACAGAAGAGATTGTGTTTTTTTGTTTTTTTTGGTATCAAACACATTGGGTGTGTTCCAACATCATCTGTGCCTCTTCACACCAATTGGAGATATTTGCTTCTAATAATAAATTGTTACATTTGAATTTATTCTGACCCTAATGTGAAATGATTGCTTTAATAGATTGTTAACCCTTAAATGCATGAAACCTCTGGTCTTTATCAACCAGGGATGTCATTCACTATACACTCCCCCTCATTCATCTTTAAAGTTAGACATCAACCTTCTTAGTATTCCTCAATCTATTCATTATAAACAAAATAACAAGGAAAAAATATGAAAGAATGTCTGTTTTGTAATTCTTATGATTATTATTATTATTTTTGGTAAAAAGTGTAAGCCTGTAGGGTTGCTAGAAGATACAAATATTTAATAATGATTGGCAAAACATTCATGGGTCATTCCATGAAATCGGTGCCATTTGCGTCCCTAGAAATAATCAAACATAGAATTAATATAACAACAAATACATTTGCGATTTAAAAACATATTACTATGTATTCTTTCATCAATATTACATCAAAAAAAGTAAATTAAATATTATTTTAAATAATTTAAATAGCATTTATGCTGCTAAGGGTAAGGTTTTTGGCCTGTCCCTCATTATGATTATGAATTGCAATGTCAATACTGTTACCATTATTTACCATTTTAAAATGTAAATTTAAACAATTATTTATTACATTTAATATAATCAATATATACAAGTAACACCCTTTCAAAGTGTACAACATGTGTTTTTGTGAACTATTAGCTAGCAATTAGCAAATTAGTTTGAAATCGTCAGACCTGTTTGTCAACCTGTTACTTTTCAAGGTTTTGACATGTGGGTAACAGGGATGACATAGATTAGGTGTCACCCTGTTTTTAAAGATTGTCTGTGTAAAATTCAAACATATTAAAGGTCACCCTGGGTATATTATTGAGCTAATGCCTATATCATTCAGTGGCATTTGAGCATCAGTTACAATTTTAGTTTTTTGGTATTGTTTTAGCATTGTTGGTATTGTTATTATTACTATTGTTGTTGTTAATGACCAGGATAGGATGAACAGTCTAAATAAAACTCATTTTTTTCCATAACTCATTGTCAATAATGCATCCATGTGAATTCAGTTACAAACAAGAGCAGCAAGGTGACTGCAGACCTTCACCCCAGTCTTGCAATGTTCAAGAAAGTGAAACCAAATTTCAGCATCAAGATCTTGGTCTGGTTTCAGATGATCACAGAATCTGATCATCTTCCTTGCCTAATAATTGAACCAGATCAGTATATTTGAAGTTCTGTGAGGGGACACAGACAAACAGATGGATGCATTATCTAATTACAATCAGTTAAAATCAGTTCAATGTTGATTTAGCACATTACATTTCTAAGAGATCTAATGTCTAGATCTATTATAAATGTAATGTGCTAAATCAACAATGAACAGACTTTAACTGAAAAATTGACTGTTTAATATTGTCGTACAATTATGCCAAGTAAGTGCAAAACAATATAATGCATTTTAAAATAGTAAAACTTTACAGTAATGTAAACAAATATGTGCACTGTGCTGAAGAATGTGTGTCCTGTCATCCCTGTTACTCTCTCAATCCTGTGTCTGTCATCAATTTCATGATATTTGATACAGCCTTCCAGGTTTTTCAATTGTAACTGTAACTATATTTTATTTTGGACAAAGCCCTTTTTTAACATCTGTCTTGTAAAAATATATATTTTTCTTAATTGAAATGTGGTCACCCTCCAAAATTAGGATGTTCATGGTCATCTGAATGACAAATATAAAACTATAAAAAAAATCTAAAATTTGAAACAATCCCAGTGAAAAGAGGGAATAAAATGCTGCTCATGTATATGAAAACTTTCACATAGTTCTAATTAAACTATAGTATCTATCTAGTAATGCTCGTGTCGGTAACAGGGTTGGCAAAAATACCCAAATATGAGGTAGAAAAATAGTAAGAAAATAATAAATTACATAGCCTGAGATGGCACAATACAATTTCTTGTCATTTTAAGTTGTCTTTATTTCATGGGTATTTAAAAATTTTTGATTTTGAACTTATTTTATATATATATATATATACAGTATATAAATTTTTAAAAATGAAACTAGTGCATTTCTTAAAGCTGCAGTATGGAACAGCTTTATTATTTGGTGAAAAAAGAACACAAATAAATTATTAGGCAACAGATAAACAGGGTTTCTGTAGGTCTTAAAGATCTTAAAGTCTTGTTTTGACATTAACCTTTGACCTTTAAAAGGTCTTACATAGGTGAAGAACGTCTTTCATAAAATATTGGCATTAAATTTTGCATGCACTGCAAAAAAACAGAATATCTTTGTCAGTATTTTGTATTGTTTTCCAAACCAAGTATCTAAACATCTTTAAATCAAGGCATTTACTGAGATGCAAACTGAAGATGTGGTCTTGTTTTCTGAGAAACTGATCAAAATGAAGTGAGTTTAGAATTAAAACATGAACTTAAACTAAGAAGAAATATCTTAAACAAGAACAAATATCTCTCATTGGGGTACCAAATACAATATTGTATAGAGAAGAGCTTACAAACACACTATGACTGTCTCTCTTTATCATTACAGTATCATATCTTGAGTCAGGTTATATAATGCTGATGTTTCTAGTGTTTGTTATAGATCAGACACACGTTCACTCTAATGACTGTCTCTCTTTATCATTACAGCTCAGTCCGGTGCTGCATCAGGGATATGTGGTGCTGGTGTTGGTCTGGTGGTTTGGGCTGTAACTGTGTTTTTGCTACAAGAAGTATAAGCAACCAAGGCAAATGTGTAAGTATTTCATGTGAATCATACAGCAAGAGACAAATATGAAATTATTTAGTCTTTAAAGGATATGAATTGGTATAATATTTTTTTCAATAAGTTAAATAATAATGTTTCCGTTTTTAAATGAATACTGTTTAAAGAATAACAAAAGATTGTTAGATACCGAAGTATCTGACAAGTATCTGAGAAGCTCTATTTTGGATAAAACTTCCCCTAAATGACATATAAAAACAAAGCAAAAACATTCCTGGATGCTTTATAGGTTAAGGGGTCTAAAAATCTAAATTGTGTATTAATAAAATGATAAAAATGCATATTCGCTATAAATTGGGTAGGTTTAGGTTTGGGGGCAGGTTAAGGGGTCTAAAAAATCTAAATTGCGTATTTATAAAATGATAAAAATGCATTGATATGAATATCTAAATGATATAAAAGATACGTAAATATTTTTACGTTTTTTAGCTAAAAATACGTAGCGATTTGTACGTTTTAAACGTTGAAATACGTCTAAATTGTACGTTTTAGCATGATTAAAAACGTACAAAAGTGTACGTTTTGTGCTTGTAAATGTTACGTATTTATACCTACGTATAAACATGAGACCAGGCTGACATGTCAGTCAGATGGTTCTTCCTGTGTAAATGGGTCTTGTCTTTATAAAGATTTATGAAAGATTTACGATAGAAGATATGTTGTGTGATATGATTAATTCATCTTGTTAATTCAGACATCATTATAACAACTTCTTTAATACAAATATAAAGACAGAGTTTGCTTTTTATCTGCTTTTTCTAGCTTCATCACAGAGAATCCTTACAAATATTCTCTCTGTGATACATTGAGATTCATTTAGATATTAACCTTGTAACTTTAATTTTTCAGACACTCTTCTCTTTACAACACAGTTACTGTTAATCTATTGGTCATTTAAGAAACCAATTGACCAGCAACTGACCAAATGCTTCATGGTGAAACTTCAAGGACTCCTGACTCTGTGTTGTTGCCTTGACATCCTTTATTTTTTTTGTCACAGGCGCTAATACTGCGCAAAGAACGGACAGCATGCTATGAAATGAGCAACTCCCAACAGCAGTAGTTTATAGTCACTATAACAGTATACACATTAACAGTATTTGAATTCAACCCATGTGTACTTTTTAGATGTGAAACTAGTAAGTGAGAATTTCATTTGTTTGAAACCTGCCTTCATTTATTATGAAGTTGATGTAACAGTTTGCTGTTCATACATCAGTGTTTGACTTATTTAGTGTAATTTAGCATGTTACGCTCTACAAGAATGCTTGATTATTGTTACACTTATACAGAATTTAGCAGAAATATTATCATACTTAATGTGTAAATGCTTTTATTTTTGTTTTGTTAAATGGCATTTTTGTATGTTCTTTTACTGAATTATTTATGCTTCAATATTTTTAAATGTTTGACTTTTAGAGAACCTTGTAAGAATAAAGACACCACATTTTTGAATGAATTCATTGTGGATGTTACTGTTTTCATGAAGAATGCTCTTAGTGGCACTCTGATACTCTGTGTTCTTACAAGAGTTACAGATGATCTTTGTCTGATCATTTCATTCATTCAGCTTTTGTTTTTTTATAATGATCCTAATATAAATCATATCCATTTTTTTTCAGTTGTCATTGTAAGTATTATGAAAATAAAAGCTTGTTTTGCCCATAAATGTGTTGTATGTTTGTGTTTAAGTTAATGCATATTCATGGATTCACAGAATTCAGTATATGACTCTCAGAGAGTTAAAACTCTTTATTTGATTTTATCAATGATGCCAAGATTACGTCAATTATCTGAAACAGAAAAGCACACATTCCATGTTTGCATAAGTTTCTCATGACTTAATAAAAAGACCAAATATGTTGTGGTCATATGTGAAGATCAGTATCAGTCTGAAGGAAACCAAAAAGAATGAATCTACTTCAAATTTATTTGATTTGAAACATTAATACAGTATTAAACATATGCCAATACAATTGTCAGTAGATCATAAACAGAATCAGAAAGAGTTTTCAGATTTCTTTAAGAAACTAACACAAATGGTCGAGCAGGAAAATAAACTTATTTGTTTCAGATGCAAAACCTGCAGAAGCTCAAATTAATAAAATACAGATGTTTGATGCAAAATCATCAATAGATATCACTGACTGTTTCTCTCACTGAATGAAGGTCTGGAGGGTCTTTGTGTATTTTATGTTCTTATGACTTTTATTATGAAATGTAAGTATGCAAGAGCAACTGTGGACTGTGGAAACAATTAACACAGAGGGAAAAAAATTAACTTAAATGATTTTAGCAAATGGCTGCAATATAACAAAGAGTGAAAAATTTAAGGGGGTCTGAATACTTTCCGTACCCACTGTATAATGGAATAACAACATACTGTATACTATTTCACAAACTTGTTAAACATATTTGGCAGTATGTGATATTTAATATGCATTACAGTTGATGAAAATGAACATTTATGAAATCAAATTATTTACCAAAATAGGTAGGTAAATAAATACCAGATAAATAAATATTGCAACGGTGCATGTATATGGTTTTTTTTCAGTAGTTGCTCATGCCAGTATCAGTTTTACCAGTTATATTTAAGAAACAATTTAACTATTTAATTAAAAAAACTAAACTTACTTAATTTAGCCTATTTAGAAAAAATATGACGCAGTATGGTGCAATATCCTACTGAACGTTAGACATTCTCATTTCTTGTTCTTCTATCACCTCTTGTTTCACACAGAAGCAACATCCTGTAGAGCAGTTTGATAGCGTCTATTTCCGTAGAAAACAGCCTGCATGCTGGCCTTATTTGGAACTGATATATAGGCCTATAAACCTCTAGTCTCCTAAACCATAAACAAGACCAGTGGAACTCATCTTGGTTCCCAGTTAAGACAAGCAAACCACCTTAGGCTGGATTAAGCTGTTTTCTTTCAAGAGGGTAGCAAATACATTTTAAATGTGTTTGAAAAAAATTGCTTTACATACTTTACAGTGTATGCATATGTTTTGCGTACTGTCCTCTGACATCATCTTGTAAGGTGGATATAGGCAAATATACAAAAATAATAAACTTATTTCACAAATCATCTGAGGCTTGTTAAGGGCGTCATCATCGCCCCTAGTGTCCTGATGTTAGAATGACTGATTGATCGAGAAGGGTCTGGCTGCAGCCTTGCACTCTCAGACTTGCACTCTTAGACACTTGCGCTTCCGCTAGTGACGTCACTTGCAGTCTTTTATTTTTTTACTTTGTTCTATTTATTGATTACTAACATTTTAACATTTTACAACGGTAGCCAGGTGGTGAAGACAAGAAAAAAGAAACTAAATTACAATGTCACTTGCAATCGCCACTTGCACTGTCCGCTACCTGCGACGTCACTTGCAATCGACACAAATCGTGCTTGTTGCCAATGGTGACAAGACGCTGTGGTGGTTATTAAACAATTAAAACTAATTTAGTAACGTAACGTACAGGGTCCTGCAAGAAAAAGACAAGGCCCACAAATCCGTGGCCACAGAACAGCAGAATATGAACGCAATGCACAAAGTCTCTCGTTAAGCGCATTCCTCCTGTAGAAAAACATAAACACTTAATATGGCGTAATGTATTAAGATACATTAAGTTAAATTAAAAGATCAAATTCGATATATAGGTATTATTTAATATACTACAAGGCAAACAGATGGCTATGAACACAATGCGCAAACTTTCACTTGTCCTCCCATACAGCAAAACGCTTAATGTGGCATAATAATGAACTAAGATGATAAAGACAATCCAGTAGCCTATATGTCTTGTTGTTGACTCAAAGTATATACAGACCGATATAATATGAACAGATATGAACGTGCATTATGAAATGCATTAAGTGATTTTAAAAGATAACTCTGTACAGCCAGGGGCGGTTCTAGACCACAGTAACTGGGGGGGCCAGACAGGGGCCACTTGTGCTTTTAGGGGGCACAATTTTAAAATTCAGTTTAAACTACTTTAAGTAGCCTATTATTAATTCTGTCATGTATCGCTGCAATCTAGATGTAATCTATAACAATTTCAACTAAAATTAATGTTTCATCATGTTTCATTTATTTGACAAATAATTTTGTATTGTAGTGTCAGTCCCATTATAACCAGTAAAACCATTACACATTTTCTAATGGTGTCTAATGTTTTATTCAGCAGGGGTTTTATTTTTTTATTTTTTTAATATTCCCAAAATATATCATGAAATATCTCGATTCTCAAATATGTGCAAGTAAATGCATTTTGCATCTTTATAGGCAAAGCAAGTTTATTTATATAGCACATTTCATACACAATGGTAATTCAAAGTGCTTTACATAAAAGAAAAGAAAAGAAAAATAATAATCACAACAATAAAACAAGGAGTTCAAAAAAAAAATTATAGATTATGTTAGTTCTAGTAAAGTAGCCTAATAGTATTAATCCATTAACTTTGCATAAAAATTTGTATTTTTACTTAAGTACCAGATATGGTGTCATACCATTAAATATATTTAATACGACTGACTTTGTATGTAATGTGAAGTTAATAAAAACATAGTAAGTTACTAATTAGCCTATAACACTTTCATTGTGAAAGCACACTTTCATTTCATTCGAGAGCAAAGAACGTTTACACTATCAAAGAACATTTTCACTTCAGTCCAGCGAATTCAAGCACTCTCAAACTCCCATAATAACCTCTAAAGCTGTTTACACTGTAAAATTAATATCTTACTTACATTCGTACATCTTCACTTTGTTGTTTCTGATGAGATAATTAGCCAGAGATTGCAGTCAGGCAGCGCACGCAGTGACGAAACAGCGTGTTTCAGCGGTGACTCATCTGAACGCCTCTGATTGGTCTTTGTATTCATAAACTCAACATAATAGTATGGGATTGGTTATAATGCGCAGTGCTTTAAAAACGTGTGTGTCTCTGGCTCTGTGCCAGCCAGCCAACGCAAATTTGAATTTAGCTGCTGGATCATAAAAGAGCTGCAGACAGTTTATTCTATATGGAAAAACGCTTAACACGAAACTGTGCCTGTTGTGTTTATTCTGGGCTCACCTGCTTGCCTGTACATATTAGTTTTGTTTATTAATAATGTAGAGGAGCATACTGAGTTTGGCCTTTTTAGTCCATTATGCCACATTATGCCACGTTTTGCGGTATGGAAGGAAAATACTATATACATATTCATTATATTAATAAACTGTATATTTAATTTGATGTTTTAATATCTTCTTATTAAATTAAGCCATGTTAAGTGTTTATGTTTTTCTACAGGAGGAATACGCTTAACGAGAGACTTTGTGCATTGCGTTCATATTCTGCTGTTCTGTGGCCACGGATTTGCGGGTCTTTTCTTTTTCTTGCAGGACCCTGTATTTTATAGTACTAAATTAGTTTTAATCGTTTAATAACCACCACAGCGTCTTGTCTCCATTGGCAACATTTGTGTCGATTGCAAGTGACGTCGCAGGTAGCGGACAGTGCAAGTGGCGATTGCAAGTGACATTGTAATTTAGTTTCTTTTTTCTTGTCTTCACCACCTGGCTACCGTTGTAAAATGGTGAGAGATTCACACAAAAAGTAATAAAAAAATAAAACAAAATAAAAAATAAAGACTGCAAGTGACGTCGCTAATGGAAGCGCAAGTGTCTGAGAGTGCAAGTCTGAGAGTGCAAGTGCAAGTGCAAGGCTGCAGCCAGACCCTCTTGGACTGATCAGTAACGGAATGGTTTTTATTTTTTTACCTCACAAATGCAGCCACACCCCACCAGACAAGCGAAATGAAACAACGTTGTTACTTTTTGTCATTGTAGCCAAAATTATTTAGAATAAAAAAAAACTCTTTTTTAAAAGACCGGAGTGTTTCTACTATCTCTGTTCCCTTTTCTTACATACAAATTAGCAGAAGTGTCTTCAGCTTTTAGTCTTGCAGGAAACTCAAGCGTTCAGCAGGAAGTTAACTGTCTATTTTTTCAGAAACACCCTGAGCTCACATGAACTGTTTTCACAGTTATTTGCAGCCCGAGTGAAGTGTGAAGATCTAATCTGATCTTTCTCTCTGGTCATTAGTACATTACATTAGTACACTACAAGTACATTGATATTAGCATACTTACTACAAGTATAC